TTGCAATCGTGCGCATGTAAACAAATCTGCGCTTCTGTTAGACCCTCCCTCTGATATTTGAGTGGGGCGCAGCTCGGCGACGGGAGGGGGGCATTTTGCACTTTTGCTACTTCCCATCGACGTGTCGACCCATCTAGACAGCCTTCTCGAGTTGACAGGTTTTACCATGATGGCTTGACGAGCTTGCTCCAGCTTCACAAGAGTTCACAGGTTTCACCAGAGTGAGACTTGTAAACCAGAACTAGTGAAGCAACGAAAGTGCAAAATGCCCCCCCCCACCCCGTCGCCGAACAGGCTTGGGAATAGTTTTCGGGATGGCTCCCTAGCTTGCATCGCACATCTCTCAACAATTGTTAACACATAATGCTTACAAGGTTATCGCCCAGGAGCACGTCATGTTCTTTCGAATCGGAGGCATCTGCGATGGAAATGTTATCGAGATCGACTCCTTTTGTTTCTATCTGAAAAATCACAACACATTATGATACTTTTTATCCTTTGATAGCCCTTCTTTAGTTGAAGCTGGATTTTTGATGAACTTTGTCCTCGGCAGTAGCTCTACTCCTGACTAGGAACATCACCTCCGTTAAGCGGATGAAACAACTCAGGCTTTGCAACTCTTTAGAAATTGTCCCGAGGAATACATTCACATCGTCATTGAAAAGGTCATAACTCCAAGAGGGCACGTCCCACTTTAGGAGTCCTCGAGTATTTGGGTGCTGGAGGGGAGGGGACCTATTTGTCTCGGGAGAATTCTTCTAATCTTTGTTCTTTCCCTTTCAAGTGCACCATGCACCAGTGCATATCACCCCACCACATTTGTTAGGCAGCTACTCGAGGAGTTGCGTTTGCCCCTTCCTTCACCCCAAATGTTCTCAACTCCAGGCTTTAAATCCCACTCAGGGAGTCACACTACCTAGGAGACAAACGTTTGGTGAAACATACCCCTAGATGTTGCTATGGGCTCAGATTTTTAAACTTAGGGTCGTAGACAGAGAGAAAACCGTCTTATTCAAGCGAGTTTCATAACATCACTCAGAAAAGACTTCTAAATGGTTACATTCCCTCACTCGAACAATCGCCAAAGCCCACCCTCTCCCAAAAAAGAAAGAATTCTTACCAAAAATCGGTTTGAAACGATCAGATTGATTGATCCCACCACGAAAACACTGACATATACTGAAGGTGGCCAAATGGTGTTCATGTGGTTAAGCTGGAAAACATAGCAGTGGAAAAAAAAGCAATGTAACACAAAAAAACGATTTGAAGACATATTCGGCGATAAGTGGCTGGGCGGGGACGCCTCTGATTGTAATATGGCATCAAAGAGGGTTGCACCAATGATCAAAGTACACTAGTTGTGAGTCCCCGCCCATACCTCCGCCCATCCGATTATCGCGAAATGTCTTTCTGGTTTGGCCATGGTTTCCTCACAAACCTATGAGAGTGATTATTGTGTACAGGTCATATATACAATTTTGTTTACTTCGGAGGCGAGGGCCTGTCACAGGGCTGAATTTGGCTCGGTGCCGAATTGTTCTCCACCAGTTGTGGTCACCTACAACCTTCCCCAACCGGTGGAAAGGGGGTTTGAGCCGCGCCAAATCCAGATCCCCGCTGACATGCTTCAGCGTCCGCACGAACAAAACTGTACATTATTCGGGAACAACTGACTATAAAAGGCTTTTCGGGAGGCAATCTGAAGTGGAGCCATGGAAATTGCTTCAGCAAACTCACCACGGGAGCTAAAATAGCCCCAACACGTGCCATGAGTGAGCAGCTGCCCGTGCCACTAGCACGACACGATGTCTCCAGGGATTCCACAGTGCACAGGAAACACGCATCCCATGTGTATTCGTTGAACACTGTACCCAACAGATTCACTACCAACACTGCCCAGCCCTGAAAACGGTGCAGTGATGTGAAAGCAAAGCTCAAAACCTTTTTGTGGGCCTGATAAGTTCAGGGCGAACGTACAATTGTCAACATACCGTATATCCTTGCATTGTGAGTATGCTCAAAGTGAAGAAACACAAGCACACCACTGACTGAGCGCCCTGATGAAGTTGACGGCGACTGAACGAAGGGAACCACGTGTCTACCAAGAGGAGTATCTAGGCGAGGGACGGTAAAACCATGGTAGGATACTGGTTGACTTGACCTTGAATGTCACACTCCGCAATAACTGAATAGGCGGAGCAGAAGGTGGAGACTCGTACTGGCATTACATTACTCTCAGAGCACGTCACTGAGGATCTCCGGCGAATGGGGTCTAGTTGGTCACGGGAGGGCTAGGGTCGTATCTGCCTCACTTTTCTCCTTTTTTCCTGTTGTAAGAGCGTATATGACCCACTCCGCCGATCGAAGCTGACGGCGGGTTTTCCGGGAAAAGGTAGAGATCTCAGGAGAAAATCTTGGAAAATGTGGTGGAACGATGGAAAGAGAGGAAGGATCGTACCAGAGAACACCGGGGGGAGTAAAATTTTGCAAAAATTTTCCCCAGCGGCAGAACGTGCCCGGTTACTCCTCTCTGTATACTAAGGGGGAACGCACCAGTGAAGCGGACCCATTGACTACGAACTTGCGCCCTTCAAAAACCTATTCCTCCTCTTGCAACACTAAGCTGCTTCCAGGAAACATCACTATAGAGTACGTTGGCGCTGTTCGGTTTGGGAGGGTCATTTTGCACTTCTTTTAGTTGTTTTTTCGCTAGCTTATGTTAATAAACGATCTACACTTTGGTGGGACCTGCTAACTCCTGTGAATTGGCAAAATATTATGAGTAAGGCATTCCTGGTTACAGTGATTTACACGACTTCACAAGATGGCATAAAATAACGTCTCTCAGTACCATTTGGTGCCCCCACCAAGCCGAACTGCGTCCCGTTCTTGAGAACAGCAACTCCTGCTTGTGAAAACTGTCCTCTAGAGGTCATTAGAAGTGAAGCCTCATGCACACAAGTTCAAAACTAAACTTTGAGGATTACTCACAAATTTAGAGATCATGATGACAACGCCAAAGAGAATCTGATTCACAAACAGATGACCATATATGGTACCCGAATTGAGATCACTGCCATATGAGCAGAATGCAGCTGTGAACCACATCAGCCACAAAACAAAAAGACGTCGAAACAGACCTCGAGTCTGCCACATTTCGCAAAGGGTCTGAAATTTTCGGGATAAACATAGGGGAGTTAAAACTGTTATCAGTTCGAACAGCATCACTCACCTTTACATGCTCGATGGGTTTATGCTGCACGGGCTCGTATTTCTTGCCAGCAAAACTTGCAATGTACCGCTCAGCTGCTTTCATCTCTTCCAGGCGGCCCTATCAATATGCGAGTGCGTGGCGTAATCGGAAAGGACCTATCAACAACCTTCGGCTCATCGTTTTCCCAAGCTGCGGATGCTAGTGCGAGTCAGAGAGGCTAGGCTTGACGCGGCGTGGCGCCAGCCCGTTCTCCACCGGTTGCTGAAGCAAGCCACCGGCAACAATTGGTGGAAAATGGTCAGGCGCCAGGGTATACCTCACCCCTGACACGCCCAGCACCCGCAACCAACAAGCGTGTAGATGAAACTGACCTTGCTATGAAGCCAAGTGGGACTTTCCGGAAACACAAATAAAATACAAAAAATTGCTGGCAACGTTCCAATGGCACAAGCAATACTAGCAGTCCTCCATTCGGGAAACATCATACACACCAAGGTGAGCGCAATGCGAGCAATACCCTGTAAATATCAGTTGCAAATGCACCTAGATGCGAGAGTGGGGCGTTACTACTGAAAACAGACTCGTCCGCTAGACGCGCGCGATGCACGTTAGTTCGCGCGATGGTTTAGGACGGGGCTCAGATTGTTTTGAAGCATACTGCGTTCTCAGTTAGGTGAAACTGGTCTGGGTTCGGCCCACTACGGAATCAATTCCGTAGGAATTGGCGTCTCAGTAGCGTAATCAAAAGGCGAAGGTCTGACAGATATGCGTTAGTGAGTCTTCCTAGGATATTAGAGGCAGATCTTCCCACATCTCGTGCAAGCCTCGCCACAACACCCCCCCCCTGCACGAGCAGTATGACCGCATCGACATTGCTTCGCCTCTGGATAACCATGCCGTTTTGCTGGCGGATATGGTTTACGCTGTGCTTCCAACGCGATGCGCGACTCATGGTACATTGATTTCAAGCGCTTTTATTTAGTGGACACCTGAAGCGCTCCTGACGTACTCTGCTCGTTTATTGGGGATTTTCTAGAACTTCGTTGCTTTATAATTCATCCACTGACATTCGTTTCAAGAAGGCCCTCCACGATCATAAAGTACATATCAGGCGATAGTGTCACAATGAGGGGGGCGAGCGAGTTAGCCGCGAATGTCCTAGACATCTCTCCTTCAGCTTTATTGAGAAATACGGGTAGGGGAAAGTGAGCGGAGTTTTCACTAGGGTCAAACTTCCCACACTTTAACAAAGGTTCCATGATTTTCTGGGAGGGTGGCTTTTTCAGTTTCTCTTACAACTCACTACGGTCATCTGCTTTGAGAAATACTGGAAAGAGAAAGTGAGCTGAGTTCCTGTTTCAAGATACTTCGCCCACTTTCAATTTCGGCCTTTATCGGAGTTATCCCTTGTTCACAGCACAACGAAGGGTTCCTGAAACTGCGATTCGCTTGCTCGTCGAGCATTAGAGTGCCGTTCATACTCCGGATTTGGATTGCTCCGTTCGTCCAGCTATGTACGCTCAGGCCGCGATTAATGCCCAAAGTTATGAAAGGACTCTGTGAAAAAGTTTTGATCTGGCTGCATTCGCAATCCGAGACGTGAGCAGCCGCTTAAGCCGTGCGATTGATGTGCCATGTGGAAAGCGCAGTACTCAACAAGTAGAAAACTGGCCATGTGAGACAGTAAGCGCCCAGTGAAGAGTCCACGATGAAGCATATCGCCTGTTTTTGGAAGAACCAGAGTTCCGTTACATAAGCAGCCTTAATCACAATTGATCCACCAATAGAGAGTCCAAGAACAAAGCGCAACGCAAGCAGCACTTGCCATGTGGGAGCAAATCCTGAATAACTACAGTGAAGGTCAAATATACGGATCTACGTTGAAAGTAAATAAAAACACAATTTCATCAAGAAGAGAAAACCGTGGCATAACCTACAGAAGCCGCGCCTCATCAATGGAAAAAACATTAAAAAGGAAATTTTTGACCATGCTGAGAAACCAAAAAAAAGAAAACTGTTGATTTCAAGGACAGTAAGTAGCAGCATTGTCATAAAATCAGTGGTTTTTTTGCAAAGCGCGTCGAATAAAATGTGGGTCCGTATCCGCATGCCGTATTGCATTTTAGTTCACGCCCAAATCCTTCTGTAAGTCGGTTCTTACCCAACTGAATAAGATCTTCTGTGGGCCACGATTAACTTCCGGCCACGCTCCACGCTTCACAGTGTGAAATCGAGTCGCAGAGTGCAGCGGTGACAATCCTTCGTGCGCCCTGGTAAAACGCATCGCTAGAGCCACCACCTTTCCGAAACCCAATGAAGGCCCAAACGGACCACTGAGCGCAACACTTCTAGGAGGAGATCACGCAGAAACATCAGCGAAATACTGGCGAGGCTATTCTGAAAATCACGAAGGATGGTACGTAATGAGAGCTTCAGTCTGATATCCTCCATCTAGTGCTCCGCCCATATGCCCAATGCGGTATCTGTTTCAAATCACAAATCCAGATTTTGCAAGGTGATTTTCTGGTTAAATATGAATTCCCTTACAATTAATAGGCGGGGAAATAGGCGGAGATTCACAACCAGTCAATACCTACAACTGATGGTCGTTTTGTGTATCTCGTTAAACAGAGGACGTCCCACTGTGGATTTCCAGCGAGGGAGTCATGGTTGCGAGGGAAGGACGGATCGTATGCCCTCGCGAAAATATTTTTAGCTATCAACTTTTCTGGTTTTTCTCGTGTCACATGTCCGTTCGAGGGCAGTTTTATGGGCAAAAATGATGAATCCTTCGACGGTTAGAAAAGCAGGAAGAAAGTTTAGGAAGATGGTAGGTAGGATGGGGAATGGGAAGGGTCGTATCCAGAGGAGTAAATTTTGAAGTGGAGTCGTATTTTGTATTTTTCCCTCAACCGCAGGACGTGCAGTGACTGTAACAGTGCGCACATGAGAGCGCAATGGTTGTGAACCTCTGCCCATAGCTTATCGCGGACCTTATGTGAAGGGTCCATGAGCACTGAGGCTGTGGTGGCTTTGAGGCTCAAAAAGCGCTAAGCACCTATTTCTCTGGCTTTGGTTCATGAGTTAGGTCCACCCTCGCCCTGATACCAACATGACTCGTGGGTAGCTCTGTATGTCGTCTTTTCCACCTCTAACTCCTCTCTATTTTTTGTAGTCTTTTCACTAGATGACGTACCTAATTTTTCAGAAATCAGTTCAAGGAGAAAGGGCTTCATTGAGGAAGTTTCCGCGGTGCTGCTTGGCTTGGAGGCGGCATTTCGCACTTTCGTTAGTTCTTTTTGTTATTTCATGTTAAATAACAAGTTACACTTTGATGGTAGCTGTAAACTTCTTTGAAGCTGCGAAATGGTACAAGTTAGCCACATTGGATACAAGAAATTACGAGTCTCCACGAGTTGACCTGAGCTAGCTTCACTAAGTATTTTTGGTGCCCCCAGCGAGCCGATTTGCTCCCTTTTTGGCTGTTTCTTCGTTTTTTTTCATTCTGGTCTGCCACTCAATCTCCCTGTTCCGCGTTATAGCCCAGTAGACACAGCCTGACCTTACGAAATGTGCTCTGGACTTCTTCCCCTCCTAAAAATAGTTCAGGAGAAAGGTTCGAGATAGAGTTTTTCTTAGATGGGTTTAACAAAGATATGACAAACCTGTCAGCAAAGTGGAGATAAAGGCTCCTGTGAGCCCCAGAAGGGAAACAGGTTTACGACCGTACATATCGGATAATGTTCCACCAATGATAGTTCCTATAACATTCACAAACCTAATTCTGGCAATAATCCAAATAAATGAACGGTGGAGAAATCGGCGCCAAAGTAGGGGGAGGGACAATCGGCACCTAGATTTACCACGCCCATTTTTTGTTCGTCTGCGCCCTCTTAA